TATCTCTAAAAGATTAAAAATGTTTTTGTTTACTTATACAAAGCTTATCAAAGCGATTCTACAGCACACCTGCAAAAGTAGAAAAAAATATCCATTTAAAAAGTACTATTATCTAGGTCCTCCATTGTGATTCTGTAGTCGGCTTCCAGTAGAAATTGACCTGGAGTTGTGCTGGAGGATCTATAGCAGTGGTCTCAATCTTTTTTTTTTTTTGACCAAGGTCCACAATCCACATTACTACCAAAAGAGTTACAAAACAATGTGATGCGGCGGCAAAAACGCCAATGGGATTTTGGCCTGCATCAATAGGAGTATAGTGTTTAGATCCAGGGAAGTCTATTCTGCCTTGGTTAGACCACACCTGGAATATTGTGTCCAGTTCTGGGCACCACAATTGAAGAGATATATTGACAAGCTGGAATGTGTCCAAAGGAGGGCAACTAAAATGATCATGGGTCTAGAGAATAAGCCCTATGAGAAGCGGCTTAAAGAGCTGGGCATGTTTAGCCTGAAGAAGAGAAGGCTGAGAGGAGACATGATAGCCATGTATAAATATGTGAGAGGAAGTCATAGGGAGGAAGAAGTGAACTTGTTTTCTGCTGCCCTGGAGACTACGACGTGGAACAATGGCTTCAAACTACAAGAAAGGAGATTCCATCTGAACATTAGGAAGAACTTCCTGACTGTGAGAGTTGTTCAGCAGTGGAACTCTCTGCCCGGAGAGTGATAGAGGCTCCTTCTTTAGAAGCTTTTAAACAGAGGCTGGATGGCCATCTGTCGGGGGTACTTTGAATGCAATTTTCCTGCTTCTTGGCAGGGGGTTGGACTCTTCCAACTCTATGATTCTATGAAACTGTTTTTGGTCAACTTTAGATTCGGTTTGGTTATTTGGGGTGCTGATTCAGAAAATGACTTTGGACAGACCACATCAGCTCTAGTTTCTGATACAGAACATATGCCATCCAGAAGTCGCCATCTTCATGTCCACAGAAAACCATATTTAATCATCTAGAGCTGATGTGATCTATCCAATGCAAGATTCCAAGAGAGAACACTTTAATCAAGTCTGTGAATAATCAAATCTGCAAAAGATACTGATCCATTGCAACATGCAGTGTGATTATCAGTAGCTGCAAAGATTGGTTTACTGAATCAAGATTGGAGAATTCTTAAATGAGAAATATTTGTGTACCTCTGAGCACATGCAGAACTCTCTTTTGTATTACTGAACAATTGCAGTCTCTATCTCCTTATTCACTAAGAAGAAAGGAGTACGGTCAGCAAAGATCAATGCCAGTGGACATGATCTGAATGCAAAGGCCAGACATCCAAAGTTCAATTGCTGCCATCTCCGGTTTCTAAAATCCCAGTGATATCCAAACATCCTTCTCCTCTTTAGAAAACTTCCAATAACAAACAAGGAAAAGCCTCTTCATGATATCCAATAATGAGTGTTCTTAATTAGAACAGAAGAAGGGGAAAATAAGTTAGCATGCATCTAGTGAAATTGAACTAGTTATTGCCAAGCTGAGTTTCAGGCAGAGGGCTTTCTTTTCAAAAGCTATTAGATCTTCTTTTTTTTTTTAAAACAAAAACCAAAAGATGCCAGAGATTGAACTTGAAACCTTATCCATATAAAAACTATGTTTCAACTTTGAACTATGAATCCTTCTTTGGAGAATGTTTGAGAAGACAAAACAAAGATTTGCATTTTCTCAACAGGTTCCAATTTTGGGTTCCAGATGCTGGATTGCAGTCCTATAAATCCAGACTATTGACCAATAATAACTGTGGATGATGGATGCTGTGGACCAATATCAGGGAATGCAAAGTTTAAATCCATTTCTGTAGAATAGGTTTCAATCCTGACAATATTTCTGTAAGCAAAGTTATGGTAATCATCATCATCATCATGATCTTTATTTGTATTCTGCCCTATCTCCCTGAGTTGCAAGAATCGCACACATTCAAATATCTCTCAAAGATGCAGCACATTACAAGAAGCATTCAAGTCAAAATCAAATCTTTCTTTATTACGACCATAGATCAGCATAACAAGAAGCATTAGAAAGAACAAAACTCACGGGGAAGAGTGAATGAATTCCAAATACATGCAGAATTCATGCACTGAGCTTGAATACAAGTAAAATCTGTTACCAAAAACTTAACTCATAAATGTATTCATTAAAAATTGCTGAAGACAGCACAAGAGGGAGAAAATGAATACTCAGTGATCAAGGAGGCATTTAGGAAATTCCACCACTATAGGAAGATTCAACCTGAAAGGCAAAATGTAGCAACATGAGGAGCAGATTATAACACAGGCCAGTCCTCTGAGTACAGCTTGCAAAATATATTTGTGTTAGAATCTGCCTTTCATGTTGCTATAATTTGCCTTTCACTTGTAGCTGAAGACAGTATTATTTAGGAAAGTGTCAACCATCCAAAATAAGGGTAGGCTTTATATTGGGCATGCATTATATATCTTTTAACTTGTGTAGCTTTCAATTGATTTTTGAACACATGATTTAATTTTTTTTAACATTATGTTGTGAATGTTTTTAACTTATTGTTTTTGGAAGCCATCTTGGGTCCTGCTCTGGGACAAAGGTGGCATAAAGGTAAAGTGGTAAAGGTTTCCCCTTGACATTAAGTCTCGTTGTGTCCAACTCTGGGGGGTGGTGCTCATCTCCATTTCTAAGCAGAAGAGACGGCGTTGTCAGTAGACGTTTTCAAGGTCATGTGGCCGGCATGACTGCATGGAGCACCGTTACCTTCAGACCGAAGTGGTACCTATTGATCTACTCACACTGGCATGTTTTTGAACTGCTAGACTGGCAGAAGCTGGGGCTAACAATGGGATCCCACCCTGCTCCCCGCATTCGAACCACCGACCTTTCAGTCAGCAAGTTCAGCAGCTCAGTGGTTTAACCCGCTGTGACATCAGGGGCTTATATATATATATATATATATGAATAAATATATATGTGAATAAAACTCAACAAAATAAGAATCAAACAAATGTCTAGAAACTGTTCAATGGCTAAAAAGAAGAACAAACCAACAAAGAATGGAATCCTAGGAGGCTATCCCCACCCACCAGACCCTACATCTAAAAATTAAGGTGGAATGGAAAAGTATTTTTGAATCACATGGTAGGCTGTCTCAATGGAAGTCCCTCCAATGCATACGCATGATAGTCTTGTAACACATGTGCATGACGGTTTCACACTGCATTCTCTTGGCCAAGTGGAATTTGAGGTATTAAGAGAATAAGGAAATGAGAACTGCAGTTGCATCATATCCAACCAATGGAAACTTAAACTGGAACAATATTCTAGAACACCTGTGTGCCTGTATTTGTTTTAAGAACTACAGAATACACTTACCATAGATTTGGTTCTCTTAGATCAGTGGTTCTTAACCTATGGGCCACGGACCACCAGTGGGCCACGAGGACAAAAATCTGGTCTGCGAGCCTCCTTCCTCTTTGTTTATTTTATGTTATTTATTTTATTTCCACTTCGTTTGCACCTCCTGTCACTCCTTCCCTGTCACTGACCATGGCATATGTTCTGTATCAGAACTTTGAGCTGATGAGATCTATCCAATGCAATTTTCTGAAACAGCACCCCAAACCAAATCTAAAGGTGACCAAAAACGGATATGTAACCCCTTTGGTACGAATGTTAGAGAGTGGTACTTGGTCAAGTGGTCCCTGGTCAAAAAAAGGTTGGGCACCACTGTCTTAGATGTTCCTATTTCCTCCAAGCCGATGTATATCTTCCTTCCTGCTTTGATTCCTACAACATTTAGTGTCCACACTTATAGGTAAAGGTAAAGGTTTTCCCCTGACATTGAGTCCAGTCATGTCCAACTCTGGGCATTGGTGCTCATTTCCATTTCTATGCCAAAGACCTGGTGTTGTCCATAGACACCTCCAAGGTCATGTGGCCAGCATGACTGCATGGAGTGCCGTTACCTTCCCACCAGAGCTGTTCATATTAATCTACTCACATTTGCATATTTTCGAACTGCTAGGTTGGCAGAAGCTGGGGCTAACAGCGGGAGCTTATGCTGCTCTCCAGATTCGAACCTGCGACCTTTCAGTCAGTAAGTTCAGCAGCTCAGTGGTTTAACCCACTGTGCCACTGTGGGCTCCAGCCATACTTATAGATATTCTTTATAAAGGCCACCACTCTCACATACATACATACATATACATATACATATACATATATATATATGTGTGTGTGTGTGTGTGTGTGTGTGTTCTTTATTTAACATGCTGCAGACAGCAGGTGAGGCAGACCTATTCTCTCTGTTTTGGTCTTCAGTAACAGATTCCATGCCCTTGCTTGTTGTAGGCAGACACACATGCTATATCAGGATCACTTAAATCCCATTATTTCACAACTTAAGCTTTATTGCATTATTTCCTGCAGGCCCACTGCTTCAGCTCAACACCAAGGGTCCGTGCCTCTCCAATCTTCTTTTGCCATCTTTCTCATGCCTGTGCCAATTAAGAAATTTCCGGCTAGGTAGAGCCGAAGGAGGAAAGGGACAGGATGGGTGAAAAAAGACTTTGTAAAAAGAAGCCTCTTTGCCCTGTTTTGTTAACTGAAGCAAGCCTGTTTATTGCTAAAGGCGCTTCTTCATTTTCTGTGTTCATTAAGTCTGTAGTACACAGTTTTACACTGATTGAAAAGCAGAGAGAACATTCTCCCTGGCTTCAAGGTATAATGATGAAAACATCAAGGTTAGCCTAAGACATTTTATTTCCTGAGGCAAATGGCAAGATGGTACCCATTCTGAATTCTATGCACAGAAGCTGCAGTTGAATTTTACTTCCACATTGGCAATATTATAACATCCTTTTACCACATTTGAAGCATTGGACTGGTCTAAGGGACCCAGGAGAGACTTTGTGTCATGTACAGCTCTGTTCTTTAACAAAAGGGAACAACTGGTAAGTCTAACAGGAATACTCAAGAGGTTACCTTTGCTGCCCCTTGGAGTTTGCTGCCTATGGCAATTGCTTCACTTTGTCTGATGGTGAAACTAGCCCTGGAAAAGGAAATGAACAATTGAGTACTTTGGATTTTAAATTTCCCCCCCAGATTTTAGAATACCTGTATCTGCATGCATGCAGATATATTGGAGATGATAGTCAAGCCTCAATTTATTTAAGTTTCAATAAGCCCGAAGGTAATGTTATTTTATAGAATACAATAAAATACAGTATTTTAAATAATGTTGTGCAGGAAAAAATATTTGCGTACATGGAACAACAATAAAGCAAAAGTGTCACAGTCTCATCCACCCAAGTGGACCATTTCAGATTTTGGAGTATGAACCTGAAGGTTAATAAGATTTTTGCCATGTGTAATTGTGCTTCCAAATGATTCCCTAAACAAGGAGATAGAAACAATGGTTGGAAACATGCTGCCCTCCAGATGTGGTTGGGCTGAACTCCTAGCAGCCTTAGCCAGCACAGCCTATAGTGAGGAATGCTGGAAATAAGGAGGGCCAAACAGTCCCATTGTCTGGGCTAGCATACAGGCTGTGGATATGGCAATGTAAAGGGGTTTCTTAAATAAATAAATAAATATGCCCCCACTTTTCCTTACTAGATACATTTCCAGACTAGCAGTAATATAGAATGACTGAGACCCTAGGTGTATGTATAGCTCCACACATGCAATTCTATGTTCTTTCACTACCCAGCAGCTGACAAGTACCAAGTGGGAGTTTTCTGATGTCACTTCTACACCCTGAAATATTATAAACCATTATTATTAAGCAATGCAATGTAATTTCTACAGGTTAAAGCTTCCTTTAAGAAGAAGCAGATGAATTCCAAGAATGCAGCAAAATAAACTTCCTAGTGCAAGCAAGTACCAAAGTCTGAGTGTGACAACAAATGTTATTTGCCTCCTTTGCCCTTTCAAATTACTTCTTTCCCATCAATATCTTGCATCAGAAAAGCAGTCACTGTGTATTTGTGTACACAAATTGGATGCAACATATTGCCAGTCTAAGTATGCACAAATGTATTTAAGATATGACAGGAGAGGCAATGTGATGTAGTAATTTCAGCATTGGACAAGGACTCTGGGAAACTGGGTTCGAAACCCCATTCAAACATGGAAACCCACTTGGAAGGTTTCTTTAGAGCAGAGGAAGCCAATGACAAATCTGCTCTCTTCCCAAGAAAGAGTCACCTTAGGGTCACCGTAACGCAAATGACTTAAAGGCATACAACAGCAAAGGAATGAAACCTGCTACTTGCTCAGAGATTTTGAGTTCTAGATAAGCAAGTTTGGAGGAGGGGAAGAATGCAAAGCAAGGAAATCTGGCTATCACTATTTAAAAACTGTAAAATCATAATAACACTCAAAAACAGGGGAATTCTGGACAAAAAACAATCAGGGCCAGCTAATCATCTCCCAACAAAGGATTCCCTGAGGCCCTAAAAAGGCACGCCTTGAAACTGCTGGGCCATTTAATGCTAATCAAGGTGGCCAATTAAACATTCATACCTATCTTGAACAGACAAGAGTTCTTTCTCCCACCCTGGACATTCCACAGATATATAAACCCCATTTTCCTAGTTTCCAACAGATCTCACCACGTCTGAGGATGACTGCCACAGATGCAGTCGAAACGCCAGGAGATAATGTTTCTGGAACATGGCCATACAGTCTGGAAATCGCACAACAACTCTATGAAATTATTCATTTTTGAAATCAACATCCTGAAAATCTCCTTTAAAAGCAAGATAAAAATAGCTAAAAGATAACTAGAATAGCAGTGACCACTGGAGAGAATGAATATGCAAACCTATCCAGTCTGATCAATGGAGTGTTACTGTCATTTGCAAAATGGGGATTCTGGCAAATTACAGGAACACCTGATCTATGCCAAGCCATCTTCTGAATGAGCCCTATCAAATCACCTGCAAATGCACTGGCATTTTTTTCTAGCTTTGATGCTGGCCATCTACATGCTCCTTGATACAGGGTGCCTCCATTCCAACTATTTAGAAAGCTTCCTTTATATTCTTCATCTCCCTCTTCATTTTAGCATGAAGTCAAGCTTTGTCAGTAAAATGTACTCTGAATCAATGGAGGGGAAGAGAAACCTCTCCATGGCTACATTTGGGGCCCTCACTCATTCAAAGCCAAGAATTCCTGCTGCGAGGAATCAAAGCAGCTCCTGTAGCTGAACGATTTGAACAATGCAGCTTTCTTGGCCTTGGTTTGCTGCTGATGAGAAGAGGCCCCTTCACCCTGTCCATCTTCCATGGCTAAAGTGGTGGTGTCTCCAACTAGTTGGGGCTGATAGGCAATGTAGTGAGCACATCTGGATGGCAGCAGATTTGGCTGTGAGAGAAGTAGGCAAATATTAATGCACAACTACAGTGAGCTTTTGTACACTGCACACCAGTAATATACATTCTAATCAGGAAAAGCACTCTTATTATCATCAAGTAGTGCTGCTCAGCATAATTTATTATAACAGAGGTCCCTTATTTGAGGTTCAGAAAGCCCTTGTAGGGCTGGCAGCTGCCTTTTATTAAAAGAATGCCCTCTGTGAGGACCAGAAAGCTTTTCCCTTTAATATAGACTAAAGGAGATGCCAAAACACTATATTTCAGAGTGTGAGCAAAAAACAGAACTACATCATGTAATCTGTAAGCATGGACAATATGCTAATTTTACAGAGAAAAACAAAGCTAGGTTAACTAGGATCTGGACAGCACATAAACTTGTTAATAGTTAAGTCGCATCAAGAATTTCAGCAATCCCTTATTACTATTTTGAAAACCTAACCATACTCTCAGCAACCAATATTTTACCCATTCTGGCTCTTCTAGAGCAGAACTTCTCAACCTGAGGGTTGGGATCCCTGGGGGAGTCACGAAAGGATGTCAGAGGGTCGCCAAAGACCATCTGGAAACACAGTATTTTCTATTGGGCATGTGGGAAGTTTGGCCCAATATATTGTTGGTGGGGCTCAGAATGTTCTTTGATTGTACGTGAACTATAAATCCCAGCAGCTACAACTTCCAAATGTTAAGATCTATTTTCCCCAAACCCCACCAGTGTTCATATTTAGGCAAATTGAGTATTTGTGCCAAGTTTGGTCCAGATCCATCATTGTTTGAGTCCACAGTGCTCTCTGGATGTAGGTGAACTACAACTCCAAAACTCAAGGTCAATGCCCACCAAACCCTTCCAGTATTTTCTGTTGGTCATGGGAGTTCTGTGTGCCAAGTTTGGTTCAATTCCATCATTGGTGGAGTTCAGAATGCTCTTTGATTGTAGGTTAACTATAAATCCCAGCAACCACAACTCCCAAATAACAAAATCAATCTCCCCCAACCCCACCAATATTCATATTTGGACATGTCGGGTATTTGAGCCAAATTTATCCCAGTGATTGAAAACATATCCTGCATAATCAGATATTTACAATTAATAACAGTAGCAAAATTAAAGTTATGAAGTAGCAACGAAAATAATTTTACGGTTGGGAGTCACCACAACCTGGGGAACTGTATTAAGGGGTCACAGCATTAGAAAGGTTGAAAGACACTGTTCTAGAGAGTGCCATCATATTTGCAGCCCACACTCAAGTTCCCCCTGGAGCCCCCGGTGGCGCAGTGGGTTAAACCGCTGAGCTGCTAAACTTGTTGACCAAAAGGTCGCAGGTTCAAATCCGGGGAGCAGCTTGAGCTTCCGCTGTCAGCTCCAGCTTCTGCCAACCTAGCAATTCGAAAACCTTCAAATGTGAGTACGGTAGATCAATAGATACTGCTTCGGCGGGAAGGTAGCGGCGCTCCATGCAGTCATGCCGGCCTCGTGACCTTGGAAGTGTCTATGGACAACGCCGGCTCTTCGGCTTAGAAATGGAGATGAGCACCACTCCTCAGAGTTGGACACGAGTGGACTTAATGTCAGGGGAAAACCTTTACCTTTTTCCCTCAGGTTCCCCCAATGGTCAAAACTAATTTTTGCCTCACAAATCACCCCAAATGTGAGGCCCCAAAACATAGACAGAATGACCCCCTCTTGCTTGCCACAGTCATCCACCCCTGGTTTAGAGAAATATATATAAAGAACTCGATGACACAACCAGCATGGAAAAACTATTTTGTTGGCTCCTTACTGCCTCTTTTATTTCTCCCCACTAGCCATTAATCTAAGAATGCAGCTCAATTTTTGATCTTGTCTTCTTTGTTTGATTAAGAGGCTTTAGAGGATAAGCTTCGAGTTGAAAACAATTTGACAAATCACCACAAGAAATATGAAAGATACCAGGGTCAAACTGAGAATGAACTTTAAAAATAAGAGGAAAGGGATCTGTCTCTTCCTGAAGACTTCTATTTAGCACTAATGATCTTCTAAAATAAACTGCCATTTTCAGCTTCTGTTAAGAGGAAGCACACTGGCACAAAGGAGAGAATGGGCTTACATACAGCTACATAAGCAGAACTTTACTGAAGATGAGCAGATTGCTCCCTAGGCTGTTCTGACTTATTATTTCCCTGACTTATAGGCTGATGGGGAAATATTTACTTTTTAGGAAATTAATACAATGTGTTGCCGAAGGCTTTCATGGCCGGAATCACTGGGTTGCTGTGATTTTTCCGGGCTGTATGGCCATGTTCCAGTAGCATTCTCTCCTCTCCAGAATGCTTCTGGAACATGGTCATACAGCCCAGAAACTCACAGCAACTCAATTAATACCATGTTCTAAATGCCCTTTAATTGCTGGTTAGTGTAAATGAAACAAAGAAGTACATGGAATGAGAAGCAATGGCTTGAAAGCCAGGCTGTACTGAGGAGTATGTTTTCTTGGAGAGAGAGAGAGAGAGAGAGAGAGAAGATACACAGGAGTTTGGGAAAAGGACTATATCTCCCAAAAGACATCAGCCAGTATGACCACTGAACATGGTGTTTGAGCAGAGGTGGCTCTTGGTAATTTTCAACAGTAAGCAAACAGTATTTTGGTGCCCCCTCCCCAACCAATCACTGATATATATTTTCTGTTCGTCGTGG